CCCGCCACCACGCCTGGCTAATTTTTGTCTTTTTAGTAGAGACGGGGTTTCACCATGTTGGCCAGGCTGGTCTCGAACTCCTGACCTCGTGATCTGCCCGCCTCAGCCTCCCAAAGTGCTGGGATTACAGGCGTGAGCCACCGTGCCCGGCGCCTTTGCTTTTCTGTACTCAGATGCTTTGAGATCTTGGGACCTTGCTCTTCCCAGAGAGACTGCCCCGCCCAGGGTTAACCGGTTCCTGGAGATAGTGAACAACTCACCCAGGAGGTCCCTTGCAAACACACACCACCCAATCCAGAGCCTACACCCACAAACACCTCCTTTATTAGGCTCTCTTACTCAGGACCAGTATCCAACTGCCCTGATCATCCCAAGGCCAGACACCAGACAACTAGGGAAAGTCCTTATACCCCAGCACCTGCTGCAGTTGTCAAACCAACCAATCCTAAGCCTGCTTACCTTGCCTCACCCATTCCTTCCCATGGAAACCACAATAAAGGCTCTTGCTCATGTTTTCCCCTCCTTCCCTCTGCCTCCTGACCAACCTGGTGCTTTCCTGTGCGGCTCTGCACGGCGCACCCTGCCTCTTGTTTCTAGAACAAAGATCTTTCTCCATGATAGTCATTTCCATGTTGGCATACCATGTCAGATTTCAGGACCCTTGAAAGAGCTCTCTGCCGGGCGCAGTGGCTCACATCTGTAATCCCAGCATTGTAGGAGGCTGAGGCGGGTGGATCACTTGAGGTCAGGAGTTCAAGACCAGCCTGGCCAACATGGTGAAACCCCATCTCTTCTAAAAATACAAAAATTAGCCAGGCGTGGTGGCTCAGGCCTGTAATCCCACCACTTTGGGAGGCCGAGGCTGGTGGATCACTTGAGGTCAGGAGCTCGAGACCAGCCTCACCAACATGGTAAAACCTCATCTCTACTAAAAATACAAAATTAGTCGGGTATGGTGGCAGGCGCCTGTAATCCCAGCTAATTGGGAGGCTGAGGCAGGATAATTGCTTGAACCCAGGAGGCAAAGGTTGTAGTGAGCCGAGATTGTGCCTCTGCACCACAGCCTGGGCAACAAGAGCGAAACTCCGTATTGGAAAAAAAAAAAAAGAAAAGAAGCAGTGAGTTTTGTGCATCCTCTCCTGTCACAGGACAGGATTGTGACTGCTTTGATGGACAGCCTATGTCAGAAATGCCTCTATGTGACTTCCAAAGTTAGATCAGAATAGATGGTCTTGATCTCCTGACCTCGTGATCCGCCCACCTTGGCCTCCAAAAGTGCTGGGATTACAGGCGTGAGCCCCCGTGCCCAGCAGCTGCGTTTTCTTGTACTTCAAAATGGACATTGATTAAAAGAGCGTTGGGGAAAAAGATTGGGGGGTAGTATCCACTTGTGGGTTTATGAGGAGGATTTCTGGAATGCATGTGTTTAAAGCCCTAAGCCCGGCTGGACTCATGCCTGTAATCCCAGCACTTTGGGAGGCCGAGGCGGGTGGATCACCTGAGGTCAGGAGTTCAAGACAAGCCTGGTCAACATGGCGAAACCCCATCTCTACTAAAAATACAACAAATTAGCCAGGCGTGCTGGAGGGCGCCTATAATCCCAGCTACTCAGAGGCTGAGGCAGGAGAATCGCTTGAACCTGCAGGTGGAAGTTGCAGTGAGCCATTGAACTCCAGCCTGTGCCACAAGAGCGAAACTGTGTCTCAAAAATAAAAATAAAAATAAAGCCCCAAGTCCAGGACTGGCCCACAGAAACTGCCTTGGCTATGTTTGCATGTCTTTGATTAGGGGGACGGCAATCTCAGGAAAGGGGCCTCGGGCCTCTGCTGCAAATGCAAGCAAAGTAAGAGGTTAGGCTTTTCAGCATCATGCCTCCCTCCAGCGTGCAAGCCACAAGTCACATCCTTTCACCC